TCTAAACAAGTTAATAATATACAACAGCTAGGAGATAGTAATGCTGAAGTAAGTAGTTAAATATATCTAATTGTTTCTATTAAATTTTTGGCTTTTTTTCTTTCTAATTGTCATCACATATATATTGTTTTATTCTTTAATCATATAGAATAATGCTGAACAACACTTAGAAGTATGCAAAGATCATTCTGATGATGCTTTTGATATTTCACATCCTAGTACTCTCTCTCCTACGCATTATGATGATGAATAATAGTAATTGCCAAATAGGAAAGATATAGATAGGTGATATATTCTCTGATAAATATACAGTTCTTTTTATATAGTAAAAGCTAGTGTTAAATAGTTGTAATTCTATACTTGTTAATATATAAATTGCAGAAAAGCTATATAAACTTTTTACAGTAAGTCATCAATGTTTATAATATATATACTGATATCAATATATTATATACAGTATATTATCCATAATCATATATTACACAAGTACAGAATATATAAACAATGATTTACTGTAAATCGGTGTTCTTTTTTTAGAAGATCTGATATATTTAGTCATTAATATATTTAATTAACATATTTTTCTTCCAAGTAATACGTTCTTCTGGTTTGGTGTTTGTCTTTTGGCGCTGCTGTTAGTATGTAGTTTGTTATATTTATTTAAGGTCTTTTTTTTTCAGTTTTAGCAGTGACATATTTAACTATCACAATTTTCTTTTTATTCTTCAGGTTTGGTATTTGTCGCATGTTACTATTTTGGTGTATATATTTTGTTATATTTAATTGTTTTAGTCAGTTGCATGTTCAACTAATCTAATTTTCTTTCCAGGTTATATTCTTCAGGTTTGGTATTTGTCTTTTGGTACCGCTATTAATATGTAGTTTGTTATATTTTATTTCAGACTTTTTTTTTGCTATTTCATGTTTAACTATCCCAATTTTCTTTTCAGTTAATGTCTTTCAGGTTTGGTATTCATCGCCATTAGTATATATTCTGTTATATTTAACTGCTGGTAGTTTGTTTTAGTCAGTTGCATGTTTAACTGATCTAATTTTTTTTCTAGCTAACATTCTTTGGATTTGGTGTTTGTCTTTTGGTGCTGTCGTTAGTATGTAGTTTGTTATATTTTATTTAAGGCCTTTTTTTTTTTGTTGTTTTAGTCAGTGATATGTTTAACTATCACAATTTCTTTTTGTTCTTCAGATTTGGTATTTGTCACATGTTACTATTTTGGTACCACTATTAGTATATATTCTGTTATATTTAGCTGCTGTGGTTTGTTTTAGTTAGTTGCATGTTCAACTAATCCAAATTTCTTTTTAGATAATGTTCTTCGGGTTTGGTGTTTGTCTTTTGGTGCTGCCATTAGTATGTAGTTTGTTATATTTTATTTAAGGTCTTTTTTTTTGCTGTTTTAGTTAGTGACATGTTTAATTATCACAATTGCTTTTCTAGATAACATCCTTCAGATAAATTTGGTATTCATCTTTTGGTGCTGCTATTAGTATATAGTTTGTCATATTTTATTTCAGGCTTTTTTTTTTGCTATTTCTATTTAACTATCACAATTTTCTTTTCATTCTTCGGGTTTGGTATTCATTGCATGTTACTATTTTGGTGCCACTATTAGTATATATTCTGTTATATTTAACTGCTAGTAGTTGTTTTAGTCAATTAGATGTTTAATCAATCCAATTTTCTTTCCAGATAATGTTCTTCGAGTTTGGTGTTTGTCTTTGGTGCCACCGTTAGTATATAGTTTGTCATATTTTATTTAAGGTCTTTTTTTTTTTGCTATTTCATGTTTAACTATCACAATTTTCTTTTCAGTTAATGTTCTTCAGGTTTGGTATTTGTTGTGTGTTACTATTTTGGTGCTACTATTAGTATATATTTTGTTATATTTAATTTTTGGTGGTTTGGTTTAGTTAGTTGTATGGTTAATTGATACAATTATCTTTCCAGGTAACATTCTTCGGGTTCAGTATTTGTCTTTTGGTACTGCCGTTAGTATGTAGTTTATCATATTTTATTTAAGCCCTTTTTTTTTTAGTTTTAGTCAGTGATATATTTAACTATCACAATTTTCTTTTTATTCTTTGGGTTTGGTATTCGTCGCATGTTGCTATTTTGGTGCTGCTATTATTATGTAATTTATTATATTTAACTGCTAGTAGTTTTTTTAAGTTAATTGTATATTTAATATACAATTTTCTTTCCAGACTGCGTTCTTCAGGTTTGGTGTTTATTTTTTGGTACCACCATTAGTATGTAGTTTATCTTATTTTGGGGGTTTTGCTGTTATTGTTAGTGACATTTTTATCTAATAATTTTCTTTCTAGATAATAGTCTACAGGTTTGGTATTTGTCATGTATTACTATTTTGATGTTGCCATTATTATGTAGTCTATTATATTTAACTTCTAGTAGTTTTTTAAAGTTAATTGTATGTTTAGCATACAATTTTTTTTCCAGACAATAGGAATTATAACTATTTAATCGTCAGTTAAACATTAAATAATTAAACAACTAAATGATTAAGAAAAATTTTAGGTGGTTTCAATCTCTGCCAGACAACATTCTTCGGGTTTTGTATTCATTTTTTGGTGCCACCATTAGGTGGTTTCAATCCCTACCAGACAACATTCTTCAGATTTGGTATTCGTTTTTTGGTGCCGCCATTGGTATGTAGTTTTTTATACCTTATTTTAGAGGTTTTTTTTTGCTATTATAGTTGATGATATTTTTAACTAACAATTTTCTTTCTAGATAATATTTTTTGGGTTTGGTATTCATTATTTATTACTATTTGGTGCCGCTATTAGTATAGAGCTGTTCAAGTTTAATATTTATTATATGTTATTTTTTTTTTGATACTACTATTAGTATATAGTTATATTTAATTGTTATTTTAGTATTTTTTTTAAATAATATATTGAGTTTGAAATTTAGTAGTTTGTAATTAGTATATTAAGAAGTTTTATAATTATTGTATAGTATTTGTATATAATATAAATTGTATTATAAGTTTTTTTTAATATAATTTATTAAAATATTATATTATTATTATTTTTTTTTTTTTTTAACGTCTACCCTCTTGGAAGCTGGGATTTTTATTCAAGTATATATAGCGAGGAGTTCTCTAGGGAACCCCCTACATTAGAGAGTACATACTAGCCACATGTACACTTTTGGTGTCTAATTTAAATAGTCCGCCTGTACATCATACAGGTTCTACACTAGATGCCGTACCTGTAACC